TTCAAGTATTAGTGCTCTTAGAATCTATTTTCTTGGGGACATATTTTCCTTTTGTCTATATTGACCTTGAAGGGATCAGTAGGAAAACAGGGGAAAAAAAAAAAAAGGTAAATTTTTTTCCTTAGGTTTTTCTTTTTGAATGTGGAGATAATGTAACTTTTCAGAATGTAGATTCTTGCAAGGACATTTAACATCATTCCAACACATGGGGTTTTCAGAGTTCATGTAAATGCATATTATAAAAAATAAACTATGCATGGGTTTTGAAAAAATTTGACCAGAATTACCTGGTACTTTATTTCCATTTTTCCATTAACTCTTGGGAGTCCCCTGCTATATCCTGGGTGATTGGTTTTAACCTGCTAGTTACATTCAGTGGTAAAGTAAATATTCCCAAACTCGGCCTTTGTGGAAGTAATCTGGATACTTCTACTGTGCAATGTGTAAAGATTTTACTCTGGCCAAGAGCTTGGAGCCAAATGGGGGTTTGCCAGATGAAATAGAAGAAAGGAAACAACTGTGGTGATTGCTGTTACAGCAGTGAGCACTTCACCACATCTGGGCTAGTGAAATGAAGAAAACTGAACCTCCCCCCCCTTACTAAGACAATTATGCGTCTCTTCAAGAAAACCTTTTCATTGTACTTTTGGTTAAAAACATGACATATCTTAGAAACATGTCAGCTTCAATAATCAAAGACACCTCTTAGCTAGTCTTTAAAATTGAAAGAAAAAGTGTTTTCAGAAGTCACTGCTTTTAGAATACTTAGTTCTTTATTCAGAGACTCTCAATCTTTAGGCCTCTCACCCACTCCTGGTTAAAATTCAAGTAGAATCCTAATAAAATTCCAGTCCTTATGCCTGGATGGTGATCATTGCTTTAAACTACTACAAGGAAATTACCACCCCCCCAAACAATTAACTGGTCAAATGGCTGGTAAAGTGTTGTTCCTCTAAAAATCATATGCCAAGACTGGTGGGGGCTGGGGAGAGACCTTAAATGCCACCATCAGGCATTTTAAAAATTCTGCCATTTCCCTGGTTGCTGCAAAGACGAGCTTCAGATAGAGAACAGTCTGGAGGACTCGAGCTCTAAAGAACAAAGGACGACAGATACAGTCAATACATTCCATAACGTTTACATTTCCTTTGCTTTTTCCCCTTGGTTTTTTCTAAGAAGGAGTGACCTGGGCAAAGCACCCTGCTCTCTAAAAGACACTGTATAGACCTTTTAGAAGCGCAAAGTCCAAGGCCGAGGTGAACTTCAGGTCAGCGCGTCTAACAAATATGAAAATGTCGGCTGGTGAAGGGCGCGCCTTGTGATTTAACAAAGACTGTCAATGTGTAAGATTAATAAGAAACAAAATGCACACGGTGTCACTGTTCGGTCACTTTGAAACTTGGGACAGGGTTGCATTCAAGAGGAAAGGCTGTTCCAAATATATTCAAAATGATTCAAATCAGATTCAAACCGAGCTGCAAACACTGCCTCCCTCTTCCCTCCCTCTCCTTCAGACTCCCTTCACTCTCCTCCTCCATCTGGGATGTGAGGACATGATGAAAAGTTATTTCACTTAATGGGATTTTAAGAAAGCTTTTGTTGGGAATATATGTTATCCCTGCACGTGGAAATGAGCAAATGTGCTTTGCAGTTTCCCAAGGAAAGGATAACGCTTTCACCCCGCTTTGGGACTGGAGCCACTTGGTGTGTGAAGATTAGCATGCTCCCTCTCTGCTCCATTTCAGGGCGTCCCATCTTTCTCTTTCTCGGGTGAGATGCTGCTGGTAAACTTCAGTTTGTGTATTAATTGAGTTAGTTTCTTTTCGTGGGCTTACTTTTGTGTCTTGGATATTACGTAAAAGCAAGAGGTGTTTTTTACAAAAAGGTTTTTCAAAAGAATATTTGACTAAATAGAATGATGCTATGGCTTGCATAGCATAGAAGGTTCAGAGAAGGTACTGAGATTGTTTATTACGGCCATAAATCTTGCAGTAAAATGTCAAAATGTCGGTGTGTGAGATAACACTTGGTGGTCCTGGCTCCGTTTGTGTTTATGATACTAACCGCAAAGACAAGTTACAGGCCTTGGGGGATTCTGTGCAAGCCCATCTTCCTAAAGTAATAGAACCACATGAAACACGGACACAGTTAACTCATTTAAGTTAACCATATACAAAAGAGTGTCCGTGTTTCATTAATACCTGAAAACAGAAACTCTGTAGAAGGTTCAGAGGCTAAACAACATGAATTTTGTATTTTGGTGTCCATAAATAATATTAAACAGACATGGTGGAGACCCCTAGTACTTAAGGCTGATGACATGAAGAGGCAGGGAAGATTTCCTTGTCAGGCTTTTCTCCTCCTGGAGTTTAGAGAGTCCACAATTATAAAACATGTTATACATTTAATACACACACACACACACACACATACATACACTATTTTTTTTTTCTTGCTAGGGAGAAATGTTGGTTTAGGCAGCTGTATCACAGACTAATTTCCTCCTGAGTCTAAAGAGGAACTCTAAAGATTATACTTAAGTGTTTATTTCTGTGGTTCAAATTTCATTAAAATAAAAAAAAAATGTCAGTGTGCCTCAGATCAACAGACAGCACTCTTCACACATACACATACCCAATACAGAAAACCTCCTTATACCACTTCAGGGTGATTCCAGTTAGTAAGCTAACATGATCCCTTTTTAACCTCTTTTCCTAAATTAGTTTAAAGATTAGTCCCATATAATAGGCTTTATGTGGCTAAGCATTAAATGACTATCCATCAAATGGATATATTCCAGCATTTAGTAACTCTATAAGTAACCAATATAAATGAAGGTAGAATTGACATGCCTTTTGAAGTGTCTCCAGGCTTACGCTAGCTATAACTTGTCTGTGTTTCAGACTCAGTTGGGAGAAGGCTGTTTACAGTGTTTTTTAAAAAATCAACTAAGTGGCACCAACTGAAAACCTTTGGCTTGCATGCTAATATATAAAATATTTTTAGAATAGTGACTGTGCTTGTTTGCATTGCTTTCATCTTAGCTAAAAATTTAAGAGGATTTAGGCGTGTCTGTTACTCAGAAAAGGGAAAGTACGCAGTGCAAATAAGGCATCAGTATTTACTTCAAAGATCAACATTAGGTGGAATTAATAAGTAATTTATTTGTTAATAATGGTGTAATTAGTTTACCCATCAAATTTCAATTACCAAATGGCAGGCAACAGTCCCCTCTCCCTCCTTTCCAGAGCTACTGATATCGTTAATATGCTAATTCTCAGCAATTCAGAAATTATAGACTCTCCTGTAAATATAACTTATCTAGCCTCAAATACAGTCTGTGAAAGCAGCAGCCAAAAAAGCAAACATAACATTCTTAGCTGGAAAAGACCCACGACAGAGATTAGAGAGGCAAGGTGCTTATTCTATTTTCAGCTGGTTTTTGCTTGAGATTCTTCTCAAATAGGAAATTTGGTTTCAAAGCTCAGTTTTGTGGAGGCATTGCTTCTATCTATAACCAATCTTGCGCCACTTTCTTACAAAGGCACGTACTAAATGCATGCATATTTAGAACCTCCATCATATTAAGACCTATTAGGAAAGTTCCAATTTTATCTTAGGGGAAAAAAAAAAAAAGCACAACAGATTTGTCCCTAAAAAAGATAAAATTTAAAAATCATCCGGCTATATTAGAACGGTGTCATTGAACACCCTTGGTTTGACCTCTCTCAGCTGCCCACCCACCTTTGTGGTTCCCGAGTTCTAGGGCAGTTGCAGAAAGCAGGGTGTGGGGAAAGGGATCTGCTGGTGGGAAAATGGATCGGTCAGCCTTCTCGGTTTTATTCTGGGGCCAGGACAAAATCAGAATGCCTCCAGCCCTGCCCTACCCTAAGCCAGCCTCGAACCATGGAGGACGCCAGGCCTGATTGAGCTGGGCAGGAGGTCAGTGCTGAGCAGCAGCAGCCGTGCGCCTGGGCCTAGGCCAGGAGTAGGACACGCATAGGGCCCAAGAGGACCTATAGCTTGATAGGCTCCATATCCCCAGAGGGAATCAAAGTTGGGGGGCTGGGGAGGACCCTAGGCGTCTCCTCCCTTCCCCCCGCCCGCGGCCGGACAGCAGCATTCATCACCCACCCGCGCGTTTCCTGATCCGGGTCCGCGCGCGCGGTGCTCCCATTGGTGGGGGCGTTACACGTGGGGCGCGGGGCGGGGCGCGCGCGGGGCCGAGGCAGTACGCGCGCGCGCGTGCGGGCGGGGGAGGAGCGGCGCGAACTTTGGTGGTGGCGTCGGCAGGAGGGGGAGGGGTGGGTACTTGACAGCGGGGGGAGGGGAAGGGCGCAGAGGAA